CGACCGAATGTGGCAGCTGCCTAAATCGGCGGAAACGACACATAACGTCATCGCTCAGATAAGATTATTTGCCCGCACGTAGTACTTCGGGAATTATAAGGTCGTCCCTCCGATATACGCCAAGCAAACCGCTGGTGCCCTAAAAGAGAGAATGCTACTTTTGTCGGCAGACATAATATTTGCATTAGTGGCCATGAGCCGATCGATCGTGCACGCTGCGTCCATCCACGACCTCTGCTGCGTAGGGAGATGCCAAGCACGAAGGGAGACTCCCGGACGGGAACAACATAAATCGGCGCCGCTCTCGTCGCACAAGGCCAAGGGCTATACGAAAACCACACAGCCGGGCGACGGCGGTGGTACAAAGGCAGCAAACACGACCTTGGCCGGTTTGTTAACGCGCGTGCGGCGAAACCACCGCCGGAAGTGGACACTGGGACGGGAAACGAGCCTGCGGGCCACTTTGATAATTTATCCCCAGTGAAACTTAATTGTGCACAAGCTAAGCCCGCTCTCTAAGTTGTGCTAACAAAAAAACTCCCAAGCATTTTCCCGAGGGTGAACATGGTTAAGTGCGAATACACGGGGTGATGCTATGAGGGGTATTTATTAATTCGCACTATTATATTTATTAATCACACTATGGTGCCTTTATGGTGTAATGGTTCCTGGGAATCGCAATGTGATCACACGGGGGAGTTTACGTTAACTCACTGGCGAATGCCAACGGATTTCAACTTTACTCCCCCTCACGACCCGCTCTCGACGGGAGAGAGAAGGCGGGCGCGCGAGAGAGAGGGGTGCGCGCGCAGCTGCAGCGAGCGAGGAGAGCGGAGGAGCGAGCGAAGGGGGAGGGGGTATAAGGCGCGTTACTGACACCGATATCAGCGTCGCGTCCGTGGCTTATTCGGTAGAGCGTCGCGCTGCGGCCCGCCAAGTCCTCTTTCTTTTAAAGATCGAGAGAAGACTGCGGACTCCGCCGACGGCGGTGGATGGTTTGGGGTCGCTTATAAAGTGTATTCACACTTAAAAGCTTAGTACATATGGTCCACCCCACAGAGCCCAACCCAAACTCCCGTCGTCGTGATGCGAGAACGAAAAGGCGTCGTTATGAAGCCGCAATTTCCCTCGTTTCATGCTCGCCCGATAGCAAAAACAATCGCATCGCACACGTGAAAGTCTTCCGTGGGCGTGGCGGATGCGATTCTCGTTCAGCGTTTCACGAACGTTATTCCGGGCGGAAATAGCCGGATTCCAATATTTTGCAGACATTTTCAGCATTAACTTTTCTGAAGCCCAAGGGCCATTACGCCTTCGGATGACAATTACACTTCAATTGCCACATTTTCATCGATCGCCTTACTTTTTTGGTCGACAAGTTATAGCCGTAACTTTCCTATATCTGGAAATATTAATATTTCTGTCACTGCCGAAAGGAAATTATCGCTGAGACGTCTCACAATTGATATTAAAAAAATAGTGAACGCACTTATTGAAAAACCTCCATTTTTTAGCTATAAAGCCGTAGGCATGTCCTTCGCTAAACTGGAAACAGACAAATGTGCTTTGGTACTTTAATATCCGTATATGAAATTCGAGCTTTGGAACGTCATCTTTTCTCCAAGATTTAAAAAAGGCCAGGAAAGAGGCTCCGATTTCTTTTTACACCCTCCGAACAAGCTCGCTAATTTGTACAGTGCATCATAGTCAATTTTGCTTATTTGTGCAGTACAGGCGATCAGATTTTTTTTTTTTTTCAAATATCAACGCGCTGCGCGCCACGCCAACCACTCCGTTTCGAAAAACAATTCCCGCGCCTCTTTTTTCCTGACCAATCTCCCTCGTACGCGCAATGACGCAAAATTACCCACGGGCAACTTGTCGTGTTACTGAGCTCGTCGATATGGTCCTTTCTTTGCCCAACGAAACGGCACCTTGGCCCTGCGTTGATCCAGTTTTGGCCGCATTTTCTCATGCTGCCCTCTTCCATTTTGTAAAGCTCTCGAATCGAGACTACCAGGAGAATCGGTACTGCCAGAACGCAAGCCTCCGACTTCCTCCGGCATAAAGAGGCGTCTTGCTACTTTACCGCTAGGAGAAGGGTTCTCTTTGCACCTCGCTTCCCAGCGCCGCTTTGACACGTGCTCACGTGGAGTAAGCCCTGCTCGGTCGTTGGATGCGCGCCCAGGCCCCGGAAACTGAGCGCTATAGTTTCGGTTTCAAGGAACATGCACGCTCTTAGCGGTTGCCGGGCATCCTAAGATCCGGCTGAACGGAGTGAGGTTGATGTGAATGCTCGTATATATTTTATATTGACTTTCACAAGTTTTTAGAAATTAAAAAAAAATCAATACCCCTGTAAAGAACTATTTAGTTTATATGCTTTTTCTTATTTTTGATTTCGTGAATTTTAAACCAGGCGAACCGCGGGAAATGATAGACAGGCGTTCGTAGCGCTTGCCTCCGCTCCTTTTCGGCCCCTCACTCAGCGATATTAGAAGTTGGATCGCGCTCAGCTATCTCGCTCAGTTGGCGTGTTAACTAGGGGAAAAAAAAGGCAGCAAGTTGTGGCAGGCATAGAACGGAAGCCGCGGTGAGCTACGCCAGACGAGTCAACCATTCATTCATCGAAGACGGCTTAATCGGGAAACAAACGTTTTTAGCGGCTCTGCGGTGTGCTAACCCGGGGACACCTAGTTCCGCGAAGGTTATTCAGCGTTTCCTATATGCAACGAATGAGCACAAGGATTTGGAACCATTACTTGAGCAGGTATTGAATTGGCAAGAGTACATATGAATGAACACTGTTCTCTGCAAGCCTGACTGGACTGACAGAAGAGCAGTGTCGCTTGACTAAGTGGTAAAGACGGCAGCCAAGCTCCTGTCAAGAAAATGCGTTTATTGAAATGCTTGAATTAGAGTTGGCTGGTCTACATAGTTTTAGTTTCTTTTACTTTCAGCGTGTAGTTCAAACGATGTCAAGTTATTATAGGTTGCTTCCTGCTCATGAAATTCTTATAGTAGCGGTTTGAAAATTTGTGAGTCCTTACTTCTAACGGTGTCATTTAAGTACACGTGATGGACTAAATGCTCGTAAAAATTACTACAGGGAATGCCGTGGAGCCAACGTTTTGACAAGCGATCTTTTCTTCGTCAAGGCAACGCTGTTGTCTTGACGAAGACAAGTCGACTTGCCGAAAGACTGTTTCGAGCGACGTTCTTTCTCGAAAAACTTCTCATCGCTTCAAGCCTCTCCATGCCTCTGAACTTCAGTCTCATTTGGTACTCATGTTCAGTAAAAAAAAAAAAAAACCTATCCAAGCCGTCATAACAAACGCGATTGAGTCAAATACGACGTGTCCTACTCTCGATTGTTGATAAGTTTCGCATTGGTTCGGATATTCAAGGTTTAACGTTTGCTCATTATGTCCGTATGTCAGTTGTAAATTAAAGCTGATTATATAGAATAAGAATTTCACACTAAGTGTATGTCTGTTTTTTAATACAAAACGTGCAGTAAAAAAAGTTCATTTTATTTGTACCGATCGAGTTTCGTCTTACTGATAGCGCTTTCCATTGGGCGAGCAGATTTAAGGGGAACAAGCAGCGAGCTAGAGCAGCCAACGACGGCGGCGGAGACGTGTGCTCTCGTTTCCCGAATGGAACAATTACCCTGCTCCAAGAGCGTGATGTGGTAGTGGTTAGAAGATGAGAAAAGGCACCTAATTTCTGCAGCCCGGTCGGGAGCACGGCGCAGTGACTGAGAGCGTGATGTCAAGCGTCACGCGACCAATTTTTTACAGCTTCGCTGACATGATCAGTCGCACGCTCGCCCTCTTCCGCGCGCTGTTTCCGCGCCTACGCAGACCAGAAGTGACGTGAGAATGGTCACGTGACTTCCTCCGCGCTCTCTTAAAGCACCAATAAACAGCTCTAGGCTGCACCCATCAGCGAAAAAAAGTGCTCCTCCTCGACCAATCAGAGACAACGCCCCCTCTCCTGCCCGACCACTGACTGGAAGGCGCCGCATATGGCGAGAGCACCTTGAACGCAGTTAGAACTGCTCCTGCTCGTCCAATGAAAATCGCTAAGAGATATCAGTCAGCCTAAGTTACGCCTCTTCTGAAAACAAGGAACAAAATCAAAATAAAAAAAAAGGATTAAGAAGATTTTAAGAATGGCCGCATCGCCTTAGCGACCTGAAAGAAGGCACGAGAGCATTCCGCTAACATGCGAAGTGGGAAAGGAGGACGTCAGTGGCAACCCTCCTTCTCTTAATTTTCGCCCTTTCCCTCTTTTTCTGGACGTCACAAGACATTTTCTGTTATTTATTTCCAGTAGGATGCCCGGCAACCGTCAGTGGTAAAATGGGCGCTGCCGCTGCTAAGAACGAATACATGGGTAGAGTGACCTAGAATAGGTCACTCTACACATGGGAGGTACAGGGAGTTTTCCGCCCCCTGGCGTGCATATGACGTATACCTCATATCATGTCACGTTGCCGCAGTGGGCGGAGTCATGACGACGGGCTACGCCTTTTTTCTCTCTATAGCAGGAAAGGGTGTCGAGGCCGCGCGAAAATTTGAAACAAAGAGAAACGGACGTTCCAACCCCAGTAACTTCCTTATCGTACCACGAATTTGCATAGTTCTTGGGGCAGCATGTTCACATAGCAAAGCAAAAGTGCTCATATTTTTTTTTTCATAACTATTTTATGATATCGGGGTTGTTTACTGGCCCACGAAGAGAAATATGCACGTACCCGTACAATGCATGGAACTCTATAGAGAAGCGTATACGTCAATCTATTAATTTACCTCGGCGTACTAAGATCGTTAGGCTATTTCGTCTACTTCGTCGTCAACACGGGGTAGAGAGGCGGCTACGAGCGCGGAAACTCGTTGCATCAAAATGAATGACACTTGCGAAAACGCAGAGGACCAGAGAGACACGGGTGCGCAGAGCGCTCCCGTGTCCCTCAAGAAGCAGAGCAAGCTCACTTTTTGCTCAGGTGCCTGGACACGTCGGACTTCTTGAATCCCTCGAGGTTGAAGAGCCTCTTGGCGAGACGCGACGCGGACGGCATGTCCACCGCCTTGGGGCTGTAGTGGAAGCTGCGCAGAGAGTCGGCGTCGGACTCCTCGTCCGTGGCCGCCGCAGCGTCGTCCTCCTCCTCGAGCGTGCCACCCGAGTGGGCAGAGGGCGGCGAGTCCAGCTCGAGCGTCTCGGAGGCGTCGGTGCGCGACGCAGTGGAGCCGTTGGAGCGAGAGTGTTGCATCCTGCGCGTCCCTCCTCGGGCGGCCGCGCGCAGCGACGAGTCGAACAGGGCCGGGTGGCGGAACTGCGACTCGCTCAGGTCCGGCTCGGCGACCCAGTCTTCCTCCCGCGAGAAGCCGTCCTCGTTCTCTGGCGACAGCTGGCTGGGCGAGCTGAGGTCCAGCTCGCTGGCGTGAACGCGGTCCGCTTCCTCGGAGCCGAACGCGGACGCCATCTCGGACGTGCAGCACTCGAGCTCGCTGAGGTTGTCCTCACGCCGGCCCGAGGAGGAAGACGCAGTGGTGGCCGTGTTGTCCTCAGACGAGCCGGCGTTGTACGTCCAGAGCACGCGCGAGTCGTCCTTGGTGTCGAGCAGCGTGTTGAGCGACGAGGCCATTTCGTCGTCGTCGATGTCGATGCTGACAGCGGCCACGGTGCCGCGCGCCTTGCCCAAGTGGTCGTCGCTGCGCGAGGTGCGCACGCCGAACGAGCCCTTCTTCTCGGCCACGGGACTCTGCAGCGAAGACGCCTCGCGTTTGGTACCTCGCTGCGGGTCGCCACCAGGGCTCGCCGGCGTAGACTGGGTGCGCGTCGCAGGCGTTTTGGTACTGCTTGCCTTGGTGATGATCAGGTCGCCTGTCATAGTGAACAGCTCGCACTTGCGCGCCACCGCCGATGATGACGACGTGGAGGAGGAGGTGGCCACGCTCTCTTCACCGCCGGGTTCGTCAGACGTCACGTGCTGCCCGGCCGCGCTGGTGCCGTTCTGTCGTGGCGTAGCCGCGCCCGGATCACCTGACGCCGGCGACTTGAGCCGCTCACCCGACGCAGCCGCCATCATCTGGCGTCGCACGCGCTCCTGGATCGCAGGGTCTGCGCATACACACACACAAAGAATAGGCACGCTCACTCGCAAACAAAACAAGGCGTGCAGAATGCGCGCCAGACACTATAGATCAGATTGCTTTGCCTACTGAAAGCTAGAGAACGCATCGAACGATGTACTCCGACGATGGGAGTATGCGCCTCGGCGCCGCCAGGGAGAGGGGGTTGGGAAAGTTCGAAATCATTCCCACCCTCGTTTCGTTAGAAGGCTTTCCATTTTGTATGTGTATATGTACAGCCACGTCTGTGTATATACCGCGCGAGCAGCCGGCCTTGTATAGGGTGCCTCGGAGGCGCGCGTACACCAAGGCACCCTTCGGCCTTTCTCTGCGGCGCGACACCTAGCGGTCGCTGGGGATTGTGACGTGCACAGGAGCATGCGCGATCTTACGAAGCATGCAAGTCTGCTCTGCACGGACGACAACGTTGTAAGGTGGACGCTCCCTGGATTTCGTGCCGACCGGTTGTGCGCCCGCGCGCTCCGCGCGCTCGCGACCTTCGGCGTCATCGTAGCGCTGGCCGACTGGGCTCGTCCTACGTCATCTCCTGTCGCCGACGACCTTCGACGACAGCGCAGCTCTGATCTACTGGTCCTGCTCTACGCCATCTACAGACGCCGACACCATCTCTCGCAAGTGTACCCCGTCCTCGGACTCCAGTGACCGTTCTTCCATCTTTCCTGTCTCTCCTATCCCCTCAGTTTGTTGTTGCTTCTTCTTCCTCTTTCCTATACCTTTACTTCTACCCTTTTATCCCTCCTTACCCCCATCCCTTTGTGAGCTCTGTGGCGGTGTCGCTCACTGAAGCAGACAATAACGGGGCTCACTTTTCTCTTCCTTTCTCTCAAGAACCACTTCAACGTTGTAAGGTGTGTTTGTTTAACCGAAGACCCGCGCTCGCTCAAGGGCGCCTTCGTCATATCTACTTCATAAGACGAAGGCCGTTTCGACTGATAACAAACGCCTGCATAAACCGCGCACATTTAAGTGCGTTTTGATTTTGTAGCCATCTAGAATTCTTTTCACGCAGCTGTTGGCATTATCATGTCTTCATATAATCGCACGCCTCAAAACAGCCACAAAGCGTGCATCGTTGATGTAGGCGCGTTTCGAAACGCGCTTCGTCTAATAAAATAGATGTGACGAAAGCGCCCTGAGGGCGCGCGGATCGTCGGCTAAACAAGCACATCTTCTGCCGTTGTCACCCGTACAAAGCGTGCCTGTAAGGCAGCGCATGCTCCTGCGCACGCGACGTCACAACACGTAACGGCCGGGAGGTGTCATGCCTATAGAGCAAGGCCGGCCACTCGCACACTATACACAACCGTGGACACGGCTGTACATATATACGCAAAAACACGCAACATCACATGTAAAGGGTGGTTGAATCCCCCCCCCCCCCCCGCTTCCGGAAAAAAAGTTCTGGTAAAACCCATATATGTACGGACAGGTTTGCGACGCCAGCCCCGCCGCGGTGGTCTAGCGGCTAATGTACTCGGCTGCTGACCCGCAGGTCGCGAGATCGAATCCCGGCTGCAGCGGCTGCATTTCCGATGGAGGCGGAAATGTTGTAGGCCCATGTGCTCAGATTTGGGTGCACGTTAAAGAACCACAGGTGGTCGAAATTTCCGGAGCCCTCCACTACGGCGTCTCTCATAATCATATGGTGGTTTTGGGACGTTAAACCCCACACATCAATCAATCAGGTTTGCGACGCCAATGAAGACTGCAAACACCACACGGTATCAGACCACGAATAACAAATAAGGACCCGAAAGCGAACAATACAAAAAAGACACAGGAACCTTCAGCCACACACGTCTGAGCAACACGCGCAAAGACGAGCATGCAGCATTATCCACCACACGGGGAAAAAAAAAAAGTAACAGCGTGGCATAGCGGACCACACGGACATGACCAATATTTTTTTAAGAATTATTGGAACAGAGCTTTTAGATTAGACCCCTCAAAGGTACGGCAGTCGCGTTGTCAGAAAGGCAGCGAACATTTTACCAGCAAATGGTGACAAGTTGGTGCTGGAGAACCTCTTGTAGTCGAAGCAGGCCCGCGCGAACGGTCTGGAAAAAAAACGCCGAGACCGCCTCAGCGCCCACTCCTTGATCCAGGAGAGCTGCGTGGACGACATCCTGACGTCCACACCACGGTCCCAAAACAAAGCGGCCTACTGAATCCTCTTCTTCCTCAACCTCTGGCTCGGTTTCACAACGATGAAGTGCGAAAGGCGCTTCTCAGGCTGTATGAATCAGCGATAAGATTCCTGATCAGTTTTGTTGCCCCTTCTGACTTTTTTTTTTTTGACAATACTGGCCGAGATTTCATACGCCTCATATTCTGGTTATACAAAGCCAATTTAAAACCACCATATCATTACGAGAGACGCCATAGTGTAGGGCTCCGGACATTTCGACCACCAGGGGTTCTTTAACGAGCACCCAAATCTGAGCACGCAGGCCCCAGCATTTTCGCCTTTGAGAGCCGCCAACGTACTTTCAGAAGACGTTAATTTCAGCCTCCGCTGGAGCCACGCTAGCCACTCTGCCTGCAGCCACCATCTTGGGTGTTGCCTTTTCATTAGCTTCCTTGAAGCAGCTCAACTCATGTTTGGGGGCAAACACGGTGGAAAGCTGCCCACACAGTCAGTAGTAAACTGCAGCTCTTCTGAGTGCATGCTGTACAGCAAGAGAGTATTCACGGCGAAATCGGGCTATAGGTATAGCAGCACTGCCACGCGAAAGTGCGGTATTTGTTGGCAAATAAAATGCGTTAACTACAGTTTACTGTTACCATCTGCGCTCTTCTCTGATGAATCGGTGCACTTCTCCTATGAAACGTGAACATTACCCGCGAGTTAAGCGCATTTTGCCTTTCATAGGGATGCTCGCCCTGGGTGACTCTCTTCAAGCTTTCGCACTAAATTACGCCTTTGCTGTGTTGTTTGTACGTGGTTAGATTGTGTTCCGCTTGCTACGCACTGCTGTAGCGTGACTGAACTATTTATTTACATCTTTGTCATCTGCATACTACAAAAATGAGAGGAACAAAAATCATTGAAAGTCCGCACATCTGCGCGATTAGTTCCACCGTTCGCACCTTATACGCATGATTTTTTTTTCTCATTCTGTTCCCCAAGAAATGTGGGACAGTCGATAAGTCAAATGAGGAAAGCTTAGTGGCTGACGGTGCTTTGCGCTACACTGCGACGTGTATACGCACATGGCCTTGTACCAGTAAAAATCTTATATAAGAGTTGATTCAGCAGAAAGCTTCCATCGATGGATTACGTGTATGACGGTGCTACAACAAAGGCCTGGTTAATGGGACAAGCATGTTCTTTTTTTTTTCAGACAAAATTTACCACTGCTTTCCGTCGGTCACCAACAAAGCCACAGAAACGCTGAAAACAATGCAAAAACGTGAAATTTTCAGTGAAATCATACGGCATTATATATAGGGCATGCCGTCTGAACCAATTTTCATTGTCTGGGCTCTTTAAAGCGTTCTTAAATCTAAGCCCACGGTTGCGCGCAGTAACTCTGTGAAGACAAGACGTAGTGCAGTGTAAGTACCGAAGTTTCAGAGTATGTCATAGTATTATTTCTATGTAGTGGTACAACGGCCAGATAAACGCAACTAAGGCTCCTCGCATGATCGTTGAACTGCAGTGTCGTAGTTTAACCCACAGCGTCGTAGTTTAACCAACAGCGCGCAGGTGCATGACCTAGAGCATGTTTTTTTTTGTTTTTTACAACCGAGTCGCTATAAACGCTGCATTCCCCCAGCAATTAATAGTCCACGTGTCTGGGAGAATGCCGCAAGAGCATTAATGTGCTAGAAACACAAAGCGGCACCCACTCCGAAATTATTCTGGTGAATGGAGGGTACGAAAACAATAAACAGCACTTTGGAAAGTCGCACTCGCCGATCTTGATAATAAGCATTAGCAGCTGGGAAACACCAAATGCTTTCGTACGCCGTTTCAGGCATATGTAAAAACAGTTGCACTACCCCCTGACATGACCGGACAAACCACACTGAGAACGTGAACGACGTACGCGCACATAGAAACACAACGTGGCTAGAAGACGAAGCAAGTAGCCATCCCCACTTCACCATTTCGGCCAGTTGCCGCCAGGCGGCGACTCTGCTCGATCTCGCGGCCAATAGGGTGCTGCGACGCGAGTTGGGGCATATATAAGCGGCGCCCTTGCAGCCTCAATTCTACAATCGTAAAAACAGTACGAAAAAAAAAGAAAAATGTGCAGAGTAATTTGAACCAACAACCTCACTACCCAAAACGCGACCCACTAGTGCACTGCGCCATAACCGCCGTTCGGTTGAGTGGGTTTAAAAAGCTAGTTCTGTATTGTTGTTACGCTGGAAGTAACTAAGATTCTTTATTCTTGTGTCTAGACGTAACATTACCGGCTCCTATCGTTACGTCTAGACGTAGCTTCTGTGGAAGGTGGACGTTACGTACAGCCGTAACAACAATCAGCTGCTAAAGTTACGTCCATAGTGTGGTTCACAATGTACATACACTTAAATTTCATAATCATTTGGCCAGTCTCAGAGGTTAATTGGCTCGTGTCACTGGGATGTTGTCGCTTGGCGATGAGCTTTCATCGCTAACACGCGCTAGTTTGCTGAAGTGGCTCGTGTCGCTACTGAAAAAAAAAAAAAACAACAGTACGGCACTGCAGCAACGTTGGACCATCCACCACTGCCACCGGGGAGATTTCCTTTAAGAAAAAATTATGTATAATAAGCGGTGCCCTTGGAGCAATGATGCTGCAATGTTAAAACTACTCGCAAAAAAACAGTAAAAAAATTGCATCGCAATTCGAACCAACGACCTCGCTGCTCTGAACGTGACGCGCTAAACCCACTGCACCACATTTCGCCCTTCGGTGCACACAGGGTTTTATTACTCTAGGATTTTATTTGACATCTAGACGTAACTTTAACGGC